TTTAACAGTATCGCTACTGGATCCTCTTTTTCATCTTTGTTTTTAAACTCTCTATTTCTAGTCCGATCTCTGCAAGGTTGTCTTTTGACTATATCATTCAGTTGTAATTAACCAGAAAGGCAAGTGGTTCAAAGCTATCCAATCTAACAAAATATCCAGCTAGACTACTTGGCACGTGTAAACCATAAGCCGTAAATCTATAAGAAATTCTATTCTTACTCTACTATTAATCCCATTGTTAAGGTCATGTTCCTTTTTGCTTGACAAGACCGTCCGTTTTTCTGGTAGCTGTTTACATCTTATTTGCAATGCTAAAATAAAGAGAACGCGAAAGTGAGGAGAAGACCATAGAACCGCTATACGGCTCAGTTAACTGGTAGATGAATTATCCTGCATCCTATTTGACCTTTCAGAACTAATCATGAAGACATGTCCTGCCTAGTACTGCGGACCGACAGATTTCGACCACTGACTAGGAACTAGAACTTAAAATAGAGGTAGTATTCACAGAAAGTTATACAGACATTTAGGGCGATAGAGGAAAACCTGGTCTATAATATCAACTTTTTGCTTACCACCTATTATTATTTTTCACGGCAGGGTATGATATGAAATACAACCACTTTAATGCTGAGAGATTTGCAAAACTTGGACCCCAGGTCAGATCTAACCGCGATTAGCCTTTCCCTGGACTCAAGTGTTATGCAAGGCACCATTGAGTAAAATCTGAGCCTCGTAGTAGTTGTGTTTCACATTTGTTCTATAAGTCTTTTATATTTTGAACTCATCAAATATTTTGGTTAATCCGAATCGAGTTTTTCGAAAAACCAGTGTCTTCCGTCAAGTGCTAAGCATATAAAAGTCAGTTCTGGTCACCCACTGATTGTAGTTTCCCATCGACACACACTAAGAATTCGAGGTGTTCTAAAGCCATGGAAGAAGGTATGTAAGTAACCGGAGGATGCGTAGAAAACATAAAACGTCGAAAACATTGGAAAAATACTTAGAGAAACCGAATTATAGGTCGAAAAGCGCTAGCAACGGGGTTAGATCATCAACTAGTGGGAGGTGAGGAGAAATTAGATCTGCATGAGTTGGTATCAACTCATAGAGCGAAGAACTAAACGTCGAATAGATGGGTAAATCACGCGTTTATCCAGGCTTTCGACTGTGAATTTTAAGTTAAGCGTAAGAAACGGAAAAAGTTGCGTTGTGCTACTAAATCTTCTGAAGACGAATGCGTTCATATTACCGAAGTGCTACCGACCAGCACCCTGTGTATGTCTCACATTACCATCCAGCGCATCAAATAAGTGTACCGAACAAAAATCTTACATTAGGACTGTCTCGCAAGCACCCACCGAGCCACACAGCGCCATCGGGAGCTCCTTGGCCTTGAGCTGGGCCCAGTGCGGCTCAGTGCTGACCCGGCAGGCGTCCAGCACTATCGATCGATCGCCGTACGGCGTCGCTGAGCGCGCGTTGCCTTTCGGTCCGCCTGTGACGTCATCGCTGCCTTTGGCGGTTTGAGCGCTATCCTTGACCCTCCGAGAGAATAGCGTGTGGCTTGATCAATTGCTACCAATACTATTTCACCGTTCTGACGTTTTCCATGTTATCATACAGATTTCTGGATAGATTTTCATGTTTTCGTAGATTAACATGTTCCCCTTTAGATCATATCGGTTTAAACATCAGGTTTTCTTTTGAGAATATTAGGTACTGCAAAGGATATTTCCTAGTGTGTTTGTCGTAGGTGCTACTACTAGTAGTTTTTTTTACTATTATTCATTCTAAGGCTTTATAACTGGCTTTTGGGTTATATTGGTCTTGATGGCAATGCCTTTTTTCATAGTGGCTATTGTGCCATCGGTCTTTTCGCTTCTCTCTTCTTTCTTTCTTTTCACTTATTTTCTCACTTTATTGTCAATTACTGAGCAAAGCTGGGTTAGTGATGGTTTGAAGAAAAAAAAAGGTCTTCAGAATTTCGGTAGATTCACTTCCTTCTTTTTCTTTCTCTATCTTGTTTTCTTGCATCTTTTTCCCCATTATTAATTTCTGTCTTCTAGTAATATTTGACTTTTACCATATCCAATTGAGACTTTCCAAATCCATCGTCTTTTTTTCCAGCCGGATAACATTTTTCTTTCAAGTTCGAACAATTTTAGGACTCAAGATCTTGTATTTCTTAAACTTTCCCTAAATTAGTTCAGTGTAGAGTTAACCTTAGTGGAGTTTACTACTTCAATACCTTAGTAATGACATGAATTTACTTCGGTAAACTTGGAATTGGGCAATGATAAGGTTCCCAACTTTTAGGCAACAGTATGGTAAAGCTAGTGGTATATATTTTTCGAACCAATCGTCGTTTAACCTCAGGATTAATAAAAGTCCACATCAAGCGTAGTGTTGCTGAGATATTTGCAAAACTCCGGACTACAAGTGTCTCTGGTGGGGAACGAACGCGCGAGTCGACATTAATACCTTCTTGGATTGTTAAGCTAAGTATTTTGTATGCTAGTAATATAGTATAGTAATATATACTTGGATGGCCCATCCTCATTGCTTTAGGGGCTCAGAATAATATACATGTTTTCGGAGTTTTGCTGGTTCAGCCGTTGTGTTTCCCTGATGTTCCGAGGTCATCCTAGCCAAAGTCTACCCTAGGTCGTCACCACCGCGGGCAGTCGCCGCCGTTGTGGATCAGAAGGACATTTGTCACCATGCAACGAGTTTGATATCAGGACGGTGGTGGATCCCGGTATTGATTTGCTCGTAGTTAGGATTCCTAATGTAAACACCGGACTCTTTCTCAAATTAGGAGACCCTGCCAGGGGTTGAATCCCCCCGCTGTACATCGCAGCCCGGCACCCAGGAACACCACCCAGCCACGATGAGGCGGTAAATCATTGGGGGGATAGTAGTAGTAAGGTAGCAGTAAAGTATATATGCAACATAATATAGTAATAATATAGTAAGTATCGAATTGTGTTGTATTATCGTAGTTAAGTATAGATTATTACTATCAAGGGGAAATGACGGCGGGTTTGAAAATTATAGTCTACCTCGTTGGACTGGACGAATAAACCTTTTTATCGATCTCGTGTTAGCTTAATAATCCAAAAAACTAATGGCAAAGTTTATTGATTGAGACAGAAATCATTGGATTTCATGTATATCTTCCAAAAAAGTACAGTTCTGCTTATCCTTCAGTGATAACTGTTCCCTTTTTTCCCCCTTCATGGACCCTCGTATTTCGGCAAAGAATCCGTTGAATAGGCAGGATTCCGTCCTGTATAAGACAGTTATCTCCTGGAATTACATGACATGGGTTCAAATCGAACTCTGTTCTCAATTTTGGGGAAATTCTATATTAAATCTTAAGTTAGAGGTAATGTTTTAGATAGCATACATCTACCGTTGCGGCGTTAGGACACAGTCTTGCCCATAAGCCGATCAACTTCACAGGTAGTTTACTTATCGAAGATTTATCACTATCGTGAATGTGTACAAAATCTAAAGAGCGATATTCTTCACTAAGATCTCGTGCATAGGTACAAAGTTAAATGGTCTTTGATCGATTAGTATCCTTATTGTTACCTCAGTATCAATGCAAACATGTGCAGAACAAATCCATTATTCAGGCTATTATCTATTCTCAAAGGGCAACCTACGACCGCTGTAATGAAGAAATCTCAACAATAAAGCGAGTAGAGAGGTTGTGTTGTTCTATTCACACATATATTTTGTCTTTACTTCACTTTATTTCACTTATATTCGTACACGTTTTTTTCCTCTTACGTTTTACTTACTTCTTCAGTCCCATAGCTGATGTGAGCTCCCATTTTCGGAAGTGTGAATGAACTTTTCGATGTCCATGTTGGAAAAGTGCAGAAAGCTTATTGCTTCTTGTGTTGAAGTCTTCTAGTGATAGACAAGGCATAAGAAGGCTTCACATATTCAAACAACGGGGAACTTAACTTACTTAATAAGTGATTAAGAGTCTAATGAAGCGCTTTAACATGTTTAACTTAACTTTTGACAATTTTAACGACAATTAAGCTTCTCATTTCTGTTCGCATCACAACTAACTTTTGTTATGTCCTTATTCACCAAAGGACTCATGTAGCGCAGTGATCTGAGACGCTGTGCAGTACACAAGGGATCAATCTCCGCGCTCCAGGCCCACCAAGCCTTCCGTTTCTACGGGGTCGGCAAATTGGTAGCGGACTTGTCTGGGAGGATAGAAGCACTGGCTCGATACAACGGTAGGCAACCGTGAGTTATTGTAAGGGACAAATGTTTATTCAGTCACCTCTGGCGATGCTTAATGAAGCGGAATGTGCATTGCGCAGCTCTCAAAGGATTAATCAACTCGGAGAGATTTATCTTTTACCGTTTTTCATTCCTGTTGACCAAGTTCATATGAAATTCATCACTAAAGTGAGCTCTGACTGAGTACCAAGTAGCTTCGTTGCACTTACGCGTCCTTTAATAAGCACTAGAAGCTCTGAGTTAATCGCCTTTTGCTGTTGGTTTCAAACTTGACGTTCTTCTGTGTCATTTAAAATTCTGTAAAAATTCATGGATATGCTGTTTCCGCTTTTCCTGTTTTTTTTTCATCTAATGTTTTCCTTTTTTTTATTTCATTACGTTGTTTTTGTTCAACTCATTTTATTTGGTGAGTAACACTAGTTGATTTTTCGGTTTTGGCAGATGTGGTTGTCATCGCATTCGTGTCATTCAATGTTTTTCCACCTTTAATGAACTACTGGCTCCGAAGCGACAAGCTCTCCACTCAATATTGCACCTGACTCTTTCGCTATTGATCCTGCAAACATATTGCTCTGAACAGAGTAACTCAATCCGAGATACTTTCTCTCACTATTTCTCTCCTCCTGCTTTTCACAATTTGTTCGCAGTTCTCCATTGATTAGTTCGTTTTCTTGTCATGTTTTTTTATTTTCCAGTACCGTCTATTTATTTTTTTTGTTCTTCAGAGTGTCTTCCCAAAACACTTGGAAGACATGGACTCATCCTCCGGTGTCGAGTCAAATGTTCTTGTTGAAAAGGCTCGTGATATAAATCTCGATGATACGGTGAATAGTGAAGCATTGGCCGATGTTCTTAGAGAAGGTGTGTTTTCAAGAGAATTTTGATAAAACGTTCCACCTTTCTATTTGTTGCCTACTACAAAAGGTTAACATTATGATTTTAACTACAGCCTCAGCTTATCTGGGTTCAGTGCCGATTTGTGCTCCCCAGACCAATCCTGCTGACAGCTGATTGCTGATGGCACTGATAGATAGAAAACTAGCTGAGAGACAGGCGAAGCGAAAGACCTGCATGGTGAGGTGGCGAACGCGTTAGCTCCCGGAAAGAGTAATTATCGCGTTCGATTCCAACCGCAAACACCTGCGATCTGGAGTTTTTCAAATATCTCTGCATCATTATGGATTTAACTACTTTTTTTGGCTGGTTTTCCTTTCTAGTCTAATAGGATGTCGTGAAGGTGAAAAAACACTGAAAGGCTAAAATGTTTTGATTTTTTGAATCTTAGACAGACTCAAAGTGTTAGCGAGTTATGCAGTAGTGTCAGCTTCTAAAAATCGGAGGGTAAGACGGTAGGTGCTAATAAAGCTGTTTATTGCAGAAAAAAATTTAGGTCTAGGAACATTTCGCTGAAGTTATGGAATTATTTGGCGAACAGTTTATGCGTGATTTTAGCGTTGTACCTTCTAAGAAAGTGATAATCCATAGATATGCCAACTGTTTTGAAGTAAACTTTGTAATGAGAAGGGACAACTCTTACGAGTTTATGAAGAACATAACCTAGTGATGATTGAAAACATCAGAAACAGTTTTTTTTAGGAACAAAGGGCCTATCATCCATGGTCGATACTGAAGTTTCTGAAGTACAACCGAGCACCGTCTCCAACCAACCGTTCCCAGCTACGAGCACTAAAGTACGAGTGAAAAGCTTCTTTCGATGTATACTGACTTGTCAGCTTCGTATTTATATCTCTGTATTTTCATATAATTAAAAAGATATTTTGGAAAATGAAAACTAAGTTATCAAAAGCCAAGAGGTCCAAAATCAATTACAAGTGAGCATGTACATTTTCCTAATGATTTTTAGGTGTACTACCACATCGATGATGAACCAACACCTTATCTGACTGAAGTACATGTTCCCCCTGACCTGATTACCTTGGGAGATGTAAAACGGGTACTCATGCGTTCGAATTTCAAATATTATTGCAAAGCTCTTGATCAGGATACAGGATGGTGAGTAGTTACCAATACATTTTTTTTGATAAATTCATAGTACAAATTCCCTCTTGCATTTACCCTGGGAGCCTTTAATTTTGATTCACTCGTCGTCGAGAAAGAATTCAAATGTTCAAGAATATTCCATACTCTTCACCGATACAGTTAACTCTGAATAGTCCAGAGTTTGGCCAAAAAGCATTAGTGAAGAGGGCAAGAAGTGAAGAAAGTTATACGCTGTGTATAATTTGCATCATTTTTTAAATATACTGTAGCATTTCCATCCTGGGGCGCATAAAGCACAGTGGTCGGAGGCGCTCTCCCATACACATGGGATAATCCCCGTGCCTGAGCTTCACCAAGCCCTGCATCCCTCCGGGGTCGGCAAATTGGTGCCAGACTTGTCTGGGAGGTTAGCAACACTTACTCGATACATCGGTCGGTGGACCACCGCGAGTCGTTGTATATGTCAAAAGTGCATTCAGTTACAAGAACTGATAGTTTACGTTTTTAGTGACTGAATTTGCTTCCTACTTTTATGGTGTGACGATTGAGTGTGACATTATCAACAAATGTGACATTGTCGAATCATTGCGTTACCCACTTGTAACTGTATTATTGTGACTAGTAACTACGTAAGAAGATTAGAGAGTGGTTTCTCAATTTTGTTACATTCTGACTGTTCTGATACGCACCGATGTCAACACCTTAAGTTCTTTCACTTTCAGTGAAGTAAAAGCGGAAATTCGGGATGACATGGAACGGTTACATCGTTCGTCGAATGGTCGTTTTGAGTTGTTTCTTCTTACTACTGAAGGATCAACGCATTCCGATGGCGGATCATCAGGTCTCCCAAAGAATGCACGACATCACATGGTGTTTATTACATAGCCTTCTACTCTTTTACAATCATCATCGTAGTGCTAATTACTTTGGAGAGAGTGTCACTGTTGTGTAGGTGCCGGGACCAGCTCCAACAAGCATGTATCATCTCAGTCAAAACGCCTATCGTCACGCGGCACACCAATATGATAATAGTTGTGAGTTTTTTTTCTTTTCGAGTATGACTGGATGATTTTTTACCAATGCGTATTGTGAGTGATTAAACCGCCTATCAGATTATTGAATGTTCGGGTGTAATGATGCCATTCATCATCTGAATGTATGAAGTTAAGTAGATGAACAGGTGCGTATTTACCCTCATGGGGCTGCTTTTAAATGCTGGGATCACAAAAAAAAAACTTAGGTTAGGTAGAAGGGCACTAATGTATGCTATATTAGTGATGCCAGACGTTACCGAGTTGCCAATTTTCAAGTTAGAAATGTCGACGTAGTTCAGGTTTGGCTTGCTGTTAGTAATAGATGTAGATGAACTCCAAAAGACTCTTATCACAAATCTCACAATGCTGTGGAGAATGTGGAGTTTTTCTTCACATATCGGTAAAAATTCGTTTAGCCACGATTTTCTTTGCGAAGTTTTTGTGCATTGAAGTCCTCACTACTCTGTGATAGTAACCGATTTGTAGGAAGTTATAAGACAGTGTAATGTTGCAACGAATAATTTCGTCAAATGAGAAGCATAACGGCAGTAACTGTGCTATTATTGCATTTGTAAATTACATGAAGATATAACTTTTTTTCAAAGTGTAATCTCCTTTGTTAACTGGCATTATGCAAAAGTTTATGTTTATTCTTTTATTCTAATGATGAGGTTAAATTGAGAAAGAAAAGTTGTATGAAGTAGAAAAATGCAATCTTTCCTTAATAAGCTTACACGAGGTTGATAAATTTGGAGCCGATGATCCTAGTCGATGGTCCACAGTAAAATAAAATAAAATTGCTTCGTTATTTAGAGGAAAGGACTCTACAAATCACATATAGAATCGAATTAATCTACATATAACACGGGAGGAATATGATATCGTTATTCTTCCGACAGTTGAAATGGATCCGTGGTTTTTGCTTTTCACATTTCAATCTACTCTACCGTTTTAGTGCTAAGTACGGATTCTGAATCGATGGTATCGGCCGCCCTTCCACAATATATGAAGGGAGCTATGAACATGAAGCATATTCAACCGCAGTACATCACAGGTCAGTAAGTTTAACGTTAGTTGTTGTTTTTCTCCTTGTGATTATTTAGCTTAGGATAACGTCACGATCACAACGATATTCTGTTCTGTATCCAGATGCGTTTTTTTGCATTTTTTTCTTCTATATGTTGTATTGGTAAAGGAAAGGTTTAAACGTTGGCGGTTTTTTCAAAACCCCCAGGAATCGTGAAAATCGAACACAGGTTTGCGCGCCTGTTGTGATAATTTCGACTAATTTATTGTTTCGCTGAGTACTTCAAGTGTGCGTGCATATCCTTCACTGTTCTCCAAATGTTTTTTGGTCATCATATGGCCGTTTTATTTTCATTTTACCACTTCGCGATTGGAGTCGCTGGTGCAACAAAACGCACGTACATTATTCTCGTCAGATGTCCGAGCGGTCTTAGCACAGTGTATCGCTTGTCTAGTATTATAGCAGGAATTATTGTTTCTCTTAATATCTTTCTTTATTACTACAGTGTTTATTGTCACTTTTTTCGATTGAAGATTGTGATTCCGCAAGGGTTAATTCCTTTCCCACTTTTCATTTTGTGAAATCTGTTTTTTTTTCAAGAATCCAGGCACTTGAGAAAAATTCAGTCTTTAAATGTGGCCTAGAGTTCCCCACTTCCTACGCTCAATTTTCAAGAAGAGTAGTGGTTTAGAGTTATTTGTTCATAGTGCGTCATAACTCTTCGCGTGCGTAACTTACGTATGTTTGCGGTCGGAGTATTGTACGTGAGTTGTCTTGGAGGACAGAAACTTTGACTTGATGTATCAAAAAGCCACCGCGGGTCACTGTGCAAGCTAAAAATTCATTCGTTCGATCACCTCTAAGCTGGGAACGTCGAATGCATGGCGGATCTCTCAGGGATCTCATTGATCAATGTCGGACGCTTTTGTATTTACCATTTATGCTTTCTTTCGCCGTGAAATTCGAATGCCAAGTTTGGTTTTAGCCAATATTTTCTGCAACGTATCCAGCTTTTTCTGGCCAGCTTGTCGAATCGTGTGCACCGAATTATTCACAGTGCCCCTATTGTTTTCTCAGAAGTTCGCCCTGTTTTCTCTCGATCGAGAGCACTTTTTGAGTTGAACAAGGTTGTTAATGACCACTGTGTCATTGATAGTATGAGGGAGGAATATCAAGATCGTCGTCTTCTCGTAATGTTTGTTTATCGCATTTCCTGTCAATCCACTGATATTCTGCGATATTCAGTTACAATCTGACGTTTTTATTTTTTAGTTTTTCTGTATGGCCCATTTGTCATCATCTTGTGCTTAAAATCAAAAGGCTTTTCGTTATAATTTATCTTAATTCATACATTATTATTTTGTAAACTGTCATAAGTCAGACTGATGCTCAAAAATTGCGTACTTCTGTTACAGATTTCTCCTAAATCGTTATTTAATTTGAACAGTTGAACAGTTGAAACACTTTAGATTGCTTTCGCTCGTTGTCTTTCGTCATTAAAGGATGTTTTTTGCCGTAGGTTACAATAGCCACCAATAGCCGTCCTGCTTGGAAAATATTGGGGAACGTTCAGCTGGCATCTTTGTTTCTTTTGTTGTTGAACATTTTAATAATTTCCCGATGAGGTTCACTGGAAAACGTCGTTACTCGCAATGTAATATCTCATACCTGGCGAATGTGAATGGTGGAGTTGAATTCCAGAGTAGGGATCCTGTTGCTCAATTTGTCTCGTGCCTCAGAGAGCCCTAGTTGTACCAAGAGTCAGTGGTATACTTCACGGACTGGAAAGATCTTTAAGATATTATGCAAGACGTTTGACAACCACAGAAATTCTGATCAATATATTTAGACATGATAATGAGAAAAATAAGTCCGAAGCATACTTTTCTAAACTAGCTGATGTAATAAGTAGCACAGTACGACAAGAGCAAAAGCTAGGATCATTCCAGAGTAAAATGGATAAGATTAGAGCTGAGGAAGCTGCAATATGTCATCCTATCAAAAGGCGAAGATCTGAGGGATCTATTGTGGTGGGAGCTAATCATGTTAATTATGAGCGTCGTGATTCGACCACCCATAAGTCAAAGTGTTTTTCCTCGCACATGGAATTATTGCGTCCACGCTCCGCCTTGAGTGATATTTCACGAAGCAAGCAGCAAATAAAAGACGTGGTGGGCATTTCTCTCCGTTCACTTGAAGATCGTCGAGGAGACTGTCTCGCGTCGTCGCTAGTCATACAAAGGAAGGTTTCGCCGGCTCACGTCACAATCAATCCCACGCCCGATGAGATCAACTTTCCTTATGAAAGACGATTTGATAACTCTGCTAACGGTCGACCGTTGATGAAGATTCAGAGATTAGTGCCCTCGAGGTCATTAAGCAGGGCTCTGACTGCAATAGAAAGCAAGATGTTACCATCCCTTTATGAAGGTATTAACTTTACTGAGGAGCAGGAACAACAGAAACAAAAAAGGAGGGTGAGGAAGTACATAAGCAGTCATACGACAAGCTCCTATCAAGGGAAGAATGGCGCCGCTCCTGATGCCTCTCCTCGGCGTCATCTCATTGGATTCTTACATCGTACCAGCCACTTATCACTAACGAGTGAATTAAGCGGAAACGCTTCGTTCTACCTTATCGGCAAGTGTGCCTTTAGGATCCTTGAAGTCTATTTTGTTCTCGTAAAATCTGATATTGCTTTTAGGCCATCGCGGGCGTCGGTTTGAAGACTCCACTATAGGATCCGAGAGTGATGCTCGTATGTTCTCAGATGAAGACGATAGGTAAATTACTCCCATCGTTCTTTTTCTGTTTTTCATAGCTATTAATACCAACTTTCAATGGATTTTGTCAATATACTCTATCTAATAAAATAGTAGATATTGTCATACCAACGGTTGAATTGGTAAGAGTAAAACTAGTATTTTATATTCATATTATGTTATTCTACTGAGTCGTGGGAACACGTCGTACATAAGTACACTTCTTTTGCACTTCTAGAAGCTATAAAAACAGTTCTAAAATCCATTAAGGTCTAAACTGTTCAGAATATAATAAATCGGACTTCGGCGCATCAGAATCAACAGCGTTTAGACCTTAATAATTCGGAAGATCATTATGCTACGAAGAAGCCTGTTTACTTCAAGGTTTTTGTTTAGGATTTCACCTGAGTAATGAAATGCTTTACATTTTTTCACCTTTTCCCTATTCCCCCTCCCCTCTCTCTCTCTTTCTCTATCACTCTCTTGCTTACGTTGTGAAAACAGCCGTAGGTATTTAGTAATGCATTTTGATCCCTTTGCATTAGTCTATGACGGATGATGGTAGCCACTACGAGGGATTAGTTACGTTCGCAGACTCACATCAGCAGTTTATGTGGTTGCTTATTATCCAGTCAGCGTTTTCATCACTTGAACTACTTTACGTCCACCCTGGACTAAGATGAGTGGTTACGCCTCTGAGGACGGTGACTTCGATACATGTGACGGGAAACAGTATTATTCGACCACATCTAATTCGGAAGATCATTATGCTACGAAGAAGTCGAAGTACGATGATAATTTACATTCCTTTCCAGCAGCTCAATAATTGCCACAATGTTCCAAGACAACAGAGTTGTTCGGGTTATTTTTGACAAAATTTTATGCATGTGCGTGTTTGTAGAATACCCAGAAGCTGGCCTTGGTGTGTTATCTTCTTAATGACGAGAACGACTGCTGCAGTTGTTTTTACGATTGGCAGCTGTTGGTTTAGACACAAGACACTTTTTCATTTTTACATATGACTTCTCATTAGGTTTCTCTCCAATGGTTCATTGTGGAAAAAACTGCGGCGCTAATATCGCTGAAGCGTTCTAGGTATATTTAGGGGGTCAACGACTACGGATATCACCTCCGTTTCACGACAGCATGAGAATATGTATCGCAAGCAACGACGACGTCGGCAGTATCGGAGGCCTTCGAGAGCCTCTTCGTTTTCAAGTATAACTGGTATGCAACCTTGCAATTTTCCACTGTTTTTTGTTTACTGTTTCTTCCTATCTTCACTGCATTCATAAATTAAGAGTCGTCAATGAGCTTAGACGTGGATACAGTTATACTCAACATGGACACTGTTAATTTTCTTGGTATATCCATTGTTGGGCAAAGTTCAGCCCGTGGAGACAATGGAATTTACGTAGCTAATATTATGAAAGGTAATATTTTATAGTTTATTTTTTTTCTGCCACATTCTTGGGAGAATTGCTTCATCTTGTTTGCGCATCGGCGACTTTTATTTATCCCTGCTTCGAAGCAGAATTCCTGTAAAGATCAATTAAGCTTCAGATTTAATTACATTTGCAGAGCATTTCCTTTATATTTAAATGTTTTTCCCCGTTTTTTTAAAGGTGGTGCTGTTGCTTTGGATGGCCGTATCAGTGCTGGTGATATGATATTGCAAGTGAATGATATTTCCTTTGATAATTTCACCAACGACCAGGCGGTTGATGTCCTTAGGTGGGTTCCAAAAGTTAATTTGTTCACATAGAATTGCCATAGTTTTCCTACATATTTTTATGTTATCTATGATGTATACTATATAGAATTGGGAAGTTTTAGAGATGCCGTGGCTCGAAAAGGACCTATAAAGCTGACGGTTGCCAAGTGTTTCGATAGCGGTCCTAAAAGTTGCTTTACTATTCCACGAAATCACAGAGATGAACCGGTTCGACCAATAGATACTCAGGCTTGGATCCAACACACGAATGCCATGCGTGGCATGCCAAGCATTCTTGAAGGTGAGTGCATAGTGCCTGTGAAAAGACTTGGAGTTTCACTTTTCTATAATTCTATAAACACTATTGTATAGGCTCTGAAGGTGCCCCAACTCCTATTCCTGGTGATTGGCCTCATGGTCGCCCACCTAGTAGCTCTACCGTAACATCAACTGGATCAAATGGTCAAAATACCATTGTTACTGGACAACATATTCGCCTAGACATCCATACCGACAAGAAGAAGGTCTATTTTAGTTTACTTGGTTACTTTTTGTATTTTTCGCCTTCGTTTCTGGTTTTCATTTCGGTTTCGGGCCTTTTTTCATCGTATTAGCGATAATAATAAATGTAGGCTTAATAGGTGCTCGAGGCTTTGATCCACTTTACGGTTTCTTACTCATCATTTTTTTTAAACACCATGGAATAAATATCTAAAACAAACGATTTTTTTAAGTTTAACATACGATCTTGTTAAGTGTAGCACTCAACGTGCTTGTTGCTTAATTAATATGTGTATTTTTTTCGATTCCGATTTTTTTTCCTTGTGACTAACTCATTACAATCTTTTAGGTCGTGGAGGTGATGGCAATGCCGAATTCAGGGCTTGACATCAAAAACAGGACGTGGCTCAAAATTCCGATACCCATGTCATTTTTAGGTATTTGAAATTTTGTCTTCGATTTTTAGCTTGTTTTCGCTTTTTATATATTGCTTCTAGGCAAGGATCTACTTGACTGGCTTCTGACGCATGTTGATGGCCTTCTGGAAAGGAAGGATGCTCGGAAGTATGCAGCAGAGCTGTTAAAGCGCAAGCTCATTGCTCATGTCGTTAATAAGATCACTTTCACAGAGCAGTGTTACTACGTGCTTGGAGAGGAATGCGCCGGTGTGGTTCGCTGTCTGTAATTGATATTATTCTTGGTTTATGTCAAGGTTTTCCACAGTATTTCTTAAAATGGAGCACAAACTATCTTTGAAAGTTGTGATTTTAGCATTACGTAAACTTAAGGAATAAGATCAAATGAGCTACTGATGAGATGACGATGAGTTACCAACACATTGTAGATCAAATGAGTCATACTTGCCTCATGCATGGTCGAAAGTAACCTCAGCAGTACGCGCAAAGAAACAAGTATCTTTTTATTTATGAGATCTTATAAACTGATCTTCTTAAGCTGACGCGAGGTTGGTACAGATCTTCGTTGTCGTTGTCGTTGTTTTTGATGTTATTGATCGATGGCTGACGTTTCGGCGACTTCGCCTTCCTCAGAGCCTGGACGTACTTTATGTTAGAATACTTTTTATTATTCGGTGGAAAAGAAGGTTAAAGTATTAATGAAGATCAAACTTTCAAATAGACGCCATATTGAACAGAAAGGCCACTCACCGTGATGTTACGTGCGGGACTGGCCCACACGTAGTTCACGTGGAGTCGCGAGCAAGACACGCCCCGGGGTCAAAATATCATTTTGAAATAGGGCGCCAGGTCACGTGTGATAGTGAGGCATTCGTCCTTCCGGTTCATCTTTGGAT